CACACACACACACACACTCTCTGTCGCTCTCTCACACACACACACACACTGACATACATTCACTCTACACACACTCTCTCTCTCTCGCTCTCTCTCTCTCTCTCTCTCTCTCTCTCACACACACACACACACACACACAAGGTTAATGTGCGACTGTTTCTTACCGGAGAGGAGTTTATCGTACAGCTTCGGTGCCGGTCCGGTTCTGTACCGGATCAGTTTAGCGATACCGGTTCGAAAAGAGACAGAAAAAGAGACAGACCCGTCTGGACCGGTCGGAACCTTTTCCAGCGGAAACCGGCGACTCGGGAACTTCCGGGATCAGTGACAATAACGAATCCCGACCACGTGACAGCAGCCGCGGCGTGAACGCGACTCGTGAATATTATTAATTCGCTGTCGTGACTGCGCTGAAACAAACTAGTTACGCTCATTAATATTCATAAACGCAGTTTTTGCCGTAGGATTCCAGCTGAAAGGCCAGCCAGCAACGTCTGCATGGCGTCATTAATATTAATTATTCCTAAATTCGGATTGGTCGAGGCTATCAGAGGCGTGTCCTTTTCTTACAGCGCCACCTGGTGACCAACTTTAACTAACTTTCAGTCATACTGACGAGCGTTCAACGACTTTACATGTTGCTTTATTAGTTTCCTAAGTTTCTTCATGACAACATCTGTAAAAAAGTATTTTTATTCAATTTCTCGTGTGAAAATACAAAGCAAAAATTTTTGTCACTAAAAATTAAATTCAAAATGAAAAAAATTAAATATATTTTGAATAAATATATTTCGTCCATTTTATTTTAAACTACTTATTTTATTTGTTAAAATAATCTGTATTCTGTGAAAATACAAAGCTACAGTTTTTGTCACACACTTAAAATATTATTTTAATTGGTTAAACTACTTTGACTTATTTTGAACAATTTCTGATTGTAAGCTAGTTTGGCACAGATTAAAAATAAAATTCAAAAAGGAAACGAAATATTTTGTATTTTATCTTTTTCATTGATCAAAAGTGACAAAGCATATTTCAAACGTTACAAAATATTCTATTTTACTTCAAATATTTCTTTATTAATAAAAATATTTATAGGAAATAGTTTCCTTTATGACATCTAAGAAAATGGTTTTAGTATTTTTATTCAATATCTCGTGAAAATACAAAGCAAAAATTTTTGTCTAAAAATAAAATTCAAAAGGAAACATTTTTATATATTTTGAATATATTTCATCCATTTTATTTTAAACCACTTTTTTTAATTGTTAAAATTGCTCTATTATCTTAACATTTTTTGTTTACAATTTCTCATTGTATGCCGACAATACAAAGCCAGTTTGTCACACTAAAAATAAAATTCAAAAGGAAAAAATATATATTTTGTATTATTTTTTATATTTTATTTTGTGACAGTGAAAGTGACAGTAACAACATTTAACATGTTAAAAGATTTATATTTTACTTCAAATATTGCGTTATTATAAAAATGTATAGTAAACAAATTTTCCTTCACGATAACATCTGAAAACATTGTTTTGGTAGATGTGTGATTGTGCTACAATGTTCCTGATGCACTACATGAACAAACCCAGAGATATATTAATATCACTAATGCAAAATACTGGCTTCTGAATATTAATTACCTCACACTGACTACTGTGTTACTGAATATAACGTCATAAGAATAATATTTACAGGAATTACTGCAAGCCAAGCAAAATTCACTGGTTTGACCACAATTCTTTTATTTTTGGTATCTCAACCTTTCACAGAATAAGTAACAAAAACGAGCAAAACTGTTTAGCGGGTCCGAGAGAAAGACAGCGGAGGGAGGACGAGGTGCTTTAAATATTGTAGAGGCGTGTCGGAGGCCTAAGCGTCGTAGCTGGGGTTTTTGCGCAGGATGACGAAGCCCTCCAGGATGGCTGTGACGGGGATGGTCTCCTCTGTGGCCAGCTCCGCTCTCTCGCCGTGAGCCAGCAGCACCGGTGTGGTGTGAGTCTGGAAACCTGTGATGGCTTTGGGTTTCCCGGCCTGACCCACCACATCTACAGCCTGCAAACACACACACAGAAATAGCCCATCAGTTAAAGGCACAATTTCGCCACTAGAGGGCGCGTATTCAAAACAAACAAAGAGACAAAGAGGGTTAGGGTTAGAATAAGTTGACATGTACTTGCAAAATTACTTATAGTCAGTAGAATGTCTGTTGGGAGACAATCACAATAAAAAGTTATCATATATTAAAGGCACAATATGTAATTTTCGCCGCTAGAGGGCGCATATTCAAAATAAACAGGCAAAGGCGTAGTTTGATGACGCTTGACTGAGTGTGGAATCATGGGAGTTGTAGTCTTCATCCCCACAGCCGATGCAATCCGACGGGACTCGGGCAGAAATCATGTTCTGATGAGCTAAAGATTTATTAATAGTGGTCGACCGATATTGTTTTTTTGACAGTCGATACCGATGCCGATATCTTGGAAAGCAGGGTGGCCGATATAAAGCCGATATCATTTTAATTCATATTTAAAAAATTTGAAAATGGATTAAAAAATAAACGTGTAAAATAAACATACTTATACTCTAGAAGACAAAGTATTTTTCACAAATAAATAAATATTTAATAAAAATATAATTAAAAAGGGAGTAAACACTGTAAGCAACAGGGCACTCAGTATTCTGGGAAGTTTGTGTGCATTGGGAATCATATTTTTTCAAATAAAGCCAAGGT